ACTTTCAGACGTCGAAACCGCTAGATTGGTTTACTTCAGCTACTTTCACAGTCTAATGACATACGGCATTTTGCTTTGGGGTAATGCCGCCGATATCAATAGAATCTTTGTCCTGCAGAAACGTGCAGTTAGGGCAATTTACAATCTGGGCCCCAAAGTATCTTTGAGAGATAAGTTTAAGGAAATTAACATTCTTACACTAGCCTCACAGTACATTTATGAAAATGTAATTTATGTTAAAAGGAATAGTAATTTATTTATGAAAAATAGTGACAGACATAACATTAATACGAGGAATAGAAATAAACTAGCTTTTCTTGATAGTCGTCTTCACAAAGTCAAAAAATCATTTAAGGGGCAATGTATACGCTTTTATAACAAGATTCCGGTTGATATACAAAATTTGCCTTTCACGAGGTTTAAAACTATAGTGAAACAAAAACTTTATACTAAAGGTTATTATACAACTTCTGCGTACTGGGATGACAAAAATCCGTGGTAGTAACCCGTTTAGCTCATGGAGGTAGTCTCGATCTGTGATGTTTCAAATAAAAAAAATTATTGTAAATGTTATTTACAAAGAGCAACCCCTAGAGTTTCTTGCTCATTCTTCTCAGGGGAATCTGCCTTACGAATGAGCGGTAGAGTTTAACCATTGTGACGATTCCAAGTGTAATAATGCTTACCTATGAAATAAAGATTATTTTGAATTTGAATTTGAAATTTGAATTTGTAATTGGTTAATTATTAATATGAAATGGGCGAGGCCGATTTGTGGTTATCGACAGACGTCGATAGTGGCAAAAAATGTGTAATTTCACGAACCGCCGCGTTAAGATTAGTATGTTATTTGTAGTTCAAGAAACTTATGTAACATTTTAGTAAAACTAATAGCCGTATACCATTTCTTACACACAATTCTAAAATACACTGAAATTCGAAATCTAATATTTAACTACGGGAAGTATACTTCAAGTTTGAGTCTGGATAGAGTTACAATTTATATTTCTCAAACAGATAGGTAATTGTTTTTAATTTAATCCTGCTCCTAATTTTGGCTATGAAATCTTGTGTAGTTAACATACGAGTAAAATTACAAATAAAGAAGACGGAACGCCATTGAAATTTGAATTATCTACTTTAAGTTTTAAGTAATACAGTTAATATTCAGAAATGAATGTGGACAACATATAATAATGCAACATTAAAACCAAAACTGCTGATAATAATAAATGATGTAAAGGGAACTTTCATCACTCCTGTTACGGCCCTGGACATTAAAATGTAAAAAATAATAACAGAAGATGTAGAATGAGCTCCTTCCTGAAGTGTTTCCTTTGGTTCTTCAAAAAGCGAGTAAACAGGTCCCTCAAAGACTGGCAAGGCGTAGGCAGTTCTTCTGGTGTTGCAAATGTTCGTTAGCTATGATTTCCACCTCCTGACAAGTGGCTGGTCCGTCCCTTTGCTTCCCACTTATAAATAAAAATTGGATATGTTCCATGTTTGTTCTCTGTTTACTATTGTTAGCTTTGATATTTTTTTCTGATGTTCATCCAAATTTTTTACTTGTTGCAATTTACTATACAGGGTTTTGATAAAATACTGACAAAACATAATAATATTACCAAAAGTAAACTTTTAAGTTTTGTTGTACTACAAGTTGACACTATAGCATATAAATAACATATTGTATTATGTATTAATTATTGCACCAAATAGATACAACTGAAAAATTGTTTAACAGAAAGTGAGCACTGGCGGACTTATCTCTAAAAGAGATATTCCAGCCAACCCAGGTCAGTGAGAGCTAAGGTTATAACCGGACAACAGCGTGCAAGAGAGAATGAGAAAGAAATATAATAAACTATATACTTAAATAAAATAAAAAGTACCGTTACTTACTTAAGTATTATATACATTTAGGTACACATACATAAATAAATATATAAAAGGATAAAAAAGGAACAACAAAATTATTACACAGATAGTTCGTCAAGAAAGTGCGCCGTCTACCTTTTCTTAAAAGAGTATATATAGTGTCACTATATATTATATTGTAGCAATAGACCTAGTTGTGAAAGATTTCATCCAGAGTAGTACTGCCTTACCTATTTCTGCCGCCAAGAAGTAACGTCAGCATTCCCGTGTTCCGGTCTCAGGGTGACGGGTGCAGTGGCACTACCACTCAGATCTTTGCGATTTAAAGCTCTGAGTGGCACTGCAACTGTTATGGGTAGACATGTAGCTTACCGTCAGGTACACGACTTGTTCGTCCCGTTACTTGATACCATAAAGAAAACTTTTTAGATATTGAGTTCATAGGTTTTCGCGATTGTTACGCATAGCAAATGAAACTGTTTTCCCGGATTTTTCCGGATTGAACAGTTTCATTAACTTTTTAGATCTTTATTTACTGTAATATCCCCGCTACTGCGTTTTTATGATGTTAGTAATATAGTCCTACGAAATTGTTAATGTTTTACAAATGACCCCGTGTTATTTAAAAAAGACATTAATACTTATAACACAATTTGTCATTAACATAGAGTTTAACGATTCGTTTTAAAGAGTAATTGCTACTAATTACAAAGTACGTTCGGGCGATCCCGAACGTACATTTCATTCTTTGCCGTTGTTTTTTTCATTAGATTTTGTACTGTTCAACAGAACGTTTTAAAATGGACTTTAATTAGAAATGTTTTAGGGGTTTTAGTTTTTATTTCGACATTTACATTTATTTATTCAGTTCACTAATAGTGTAAGAACTATAATACATATTATAAATAACATTTGGCGATCATCTCTAATTCAGCAACCAATTACAAGTGAACGCAGCTAGCATAAACAATAGAAAACTAAGTAAATATATATTGGAAATGAAGTTTTTTTTTTTCGGATATAAATCGCGTATTTTTGTTTGTTCAAAGTGCACGTTTAACTCGAGAAATAAATAGTAAAGCAATACAAGTAAAATACAGGCGAAAAAGAAATTCAATTTAGGCTTAAGAAAATTGTTTCGCGAAATTTTATTTCACAAAGATATATATTCCATTTAGTCTGTTAAATAAATGCCCATAAAGTACTTCATCATTTATTTATTCTCCTAAATATAAGAAAATAAAGCTGATACCGAATACGTATTTCTAGAAAAACAATGATAATTATGTCAGCTCAGCACTCCTTAAGAAATTCTAATAAACCCGTCAAGAGTCAACTTTATACATTTCTTTCTCATGTAAGATTACGTGAGAAAGAACATTTTACGTCCTCCAGGGACAGGGTTTAGGTCATAGTTCGACGCGCTGGCCCAATACAGGTAGGAAACTTATACTTATACACATTACACACATACACATTTTCCGAGGGTTGTAAAACATACACATACAGGTTTCATCGCGACGTTTTCCGTCACCTAGACGTATTTATAGACATATACGTTAGTCGTAGGTGTCTACCGCCACAGGAATTTGAGTCGTCAAACTTCCAATCAAGACAAGACAAGACATGAGTACAACTTTTAATTTTTTTTAAATATTTTTGGTATTTTTTTAATGGTGAATAAGAACACAGCTGGTCATTAAAGAACCGTGTGGCTCTAGGACGCTGCAGTACTAAATTCGTTAGCGATAATGTGGGTTACGAATGGTTGTACACGCGATAACCTATCAAGCTACACATTGACGGATCCTGTTCCACTGCACTGGAGGCGATATTTGGACTGAAATGTATAGCATGGTGTAATATTGACTGTAAATGGACTAGTGACAAGCAACTATTCTCCCATCGGACTTCCACTTCGTACCTGCGAGATTATTTTTTCACCAAATAGAAAAGCTGTTCAGCACAACAAATAAAACATATGGCCAAAGTTTTCTGCAGTGGTCTGTATAATTAAATAGAAATCCCAATCTAAGTGTAAACCTTTGAAACCTTTTCTCTTAGTAAAGTCGAAACGGGATTGTTAAGATCATTGATTGCGAGCGAGAGACTAGCAAAGTCTACGCTTAGTGACTTAACTCAGATCGACTTAATGCAGCTGGGAGCCGTCGGCTTAAAAACAACTTTATAAAATGTGATATAAAAGAGATAAACGTTTCTTTTTATACTGTATTAAAACTAGTTTTAATTTCAATTTACAGGGATAGAAGACAGACAAAATCTTTTTCTTAGAATGTTTTGAAAATTGACGAATTTCTCTCAGATTGTGTACGGATTTAGCATTAACGTGTTCATGCGACTATTTGTTATAATTGGTATTAGATTTTTAGGTTTATGCAGTGTACTCATTTTTACCTATCTTTAATAAACTCTTCATGCTAATAATCTACTACGAAGGCGGCTTGATTTTACCGATCACCATATACGAGCGCACCAGGGGAAAAGACGCGTCCGTGACAACGCAGGCGCATCATAGCGGTATAAGGATTAATGCTTAGCGAAAAATGGACGGAGCATGTGCGTGGCGAGTGGGTTCTATTTATTAATTGATTAATTATTAATATAGACGAACGAGGCCTGTAGACAAATGTAGGCCTACATTGTATGAACTGAATTGTACCCAGGAATGTCCAGCATGGTAACCGTTCAGCCACGGACGCGGTTACATTACAACAATAAGAATAGCCACCATCTACTTTGGGTCTTTTCTGAAATAATCGCACGTGCTTTCTTTCAAAAATACTAAAAGATAACTACAATTTCACAATAAATATTTCCTGTTTAACAAAAATTTACAACCAAAAATGACTTTTCATTTTTGGTTGTGCAATTTTCACACGCTCAATATGCGAGTAACCGAATAACTAAGCAATGAAAATCTTTACTGGATTTTGTTTTCACTAATAATACGTGAACCGGCATCTCCTAGATACACGTGTAACATCTCCATCCACGCCATTACGTCAGTGTGTAGTAAAAAAGGAATGTGATTATATCAATAGACGCCAACAAAAAAGCCACGTTTTACTATTGAAATATTTAATCGTCGATGTTGTTCACAGATGTGGTGCGCTACACCCTGGAGATCAGCTCTTGGCCTTCGATGACCATGTGATCGAGGGCAACAACTACACAGCGGAGGAAGTAATGTGTTACTTGGAAAACTCGGAACCTGGTTTTACGAGGCTCCATGTTGCACCGAGGCATGTTATTACTCATTCTGGGAGATATACCAGAGGTAAGTGTGGTAACTGGTTCATGACTGCACCACCTCAGTCAACCGTGACAATGGAACCTGTAAAGGGCCGGAAACGTCGGTTTGCTTGAAAACACAAATATACGCGATTTAAATCCGGAAAAATAGTTTCATTTCCTAAGGAAAATATTTTTGTTTTTCAATTATGCGTTACGGTAATGTCTAAAGTTTAACAAAGGGAACGAATAAGGGCGATGCCACACGATCGCTGCCAGAGTGTTGTATCGTCGCACCGCTATGATATCAACGTACCGAGTGCCACACGAGCAAAACGCAGGTTACTTACGCACAAGAAGTAACCCTTCCCTGCGTCGTCGATACTCACGCGTTACGTCGCCGCACGCCGTTTCAACGCACTGTAAGGATGGGAGTTGGTGGCGATGAGTGAAACGAGCGAAGGCTGGTTTAACACTGATTTATTGAGAATAGTACTAGTATACATATAGTACGCATAAATCGACACTACACCTTCCTTGGAGGGAAAAAAATAAAATAAACATGGTTGTCTTATTTTATTTCTACTCTCCGATATTTTCCTCTAAATTAAACGTATAAGCCTATAAGAATATTAAAATAGTAAATATATAAACCTATTTTAAATTACATAGTTATCATAAGATTGTACATATTAAATATTTGAATAGGCTACATGTGGCGTGTAGTTCTAATTCATTATTATTATGTAGTACAACGCAGCGTTGTCGCAACGCATCGTGTGGTACCGCTCTTAGTAAGTATTTATTAATGACGTATAAGTGTTATTAATTTTATTTTTAATAAATAAATATTTAATTGTTAAAAAAAAAGAAAAGATTATTATTTTCTTAATTGCATCGCTGTGATTAATTGTTTTCATCGAACAATTATTTCATCAAACTCTAAAGGTTGCTGTATTTTGTCACACCATATTTTGTCATTATCATTTTATGGCAATGGTGTTTTGATTGTATTACTCGATACAAATTCAAGGCATCCTTGATCTATTGATAAAATTAAAAAAAATATCCGTTTTGTATAAATAATTCAATGTGCAGTCGCTGTTACTTAATTCCCTTCCCTATATTATGTACGGGCCTGTATAGCTAACATAAGTGTTTATATGTGATGAAAATTCGAAGATAATATATAAGCTTAATACAACACCGCATCAATAATAAATTGAGAAATTGTACTAGGTCAAGAGCATGTCAAGTTTGACAATTAAGATTTAAATTGTACTCTATGCTGTTGTCGATAAGAAAGGTCCAAAGCTCAGTTTTTGATCTGCTCTTGACTGTACCAAATATACCGCTTGTCAGGTTCAACTTTACATTGCAACCCCTACAAATTCTTAAAATAAACAGTTAACTTATTGCCCGTATAGTCAAACTACCTTCATACTAATCGTAAATGTTGGTAATGAGACAAGTTCTTGGCGGGAACGTAATGATTACAGGGTTAATTCTTCGGCAGCCTCTGGCAAAGTTGCTCAATGCTCCAAGTTGAAAAGCGACTGTATGGTCTAAATGATAAGATAATTTTATTCTTCGGGCTTTAAAACAGCGTTTGAACTCGGTTGATTTATATTACTTACGAGTACTAGATTACACTTGATATAAGCATAACCATAGCATTCAGTTTTATATCAGCATATTTGAACTAGTTCAATCTATAGACAATGAACGCTGCCAAAACTTTGAAGACCCGGTTAAAGGAAACTAGTTTGAACAATTTATTACAGCATTAATATTTAATGCATTCTCACTTAAGCTTTACTGGGCATGTAACCCAGGGCTAGCGGCATTGGGATAACATAATATAGTAGGGATAACAGACTTCGAAAATGATACCGTGATATTTCGAATCCAGATAATTGGCTGGAAACTGAAGAGGATCTTCATGGTCGAAGGAATTTGAACAGACTTTTTTTTCCTTGCATTGAAATTATAGGTTCTTGAAGTATTTCATGCCATTGTTCCGTGTTTTGGATAAATGTATATCAATGCTTACGTAGATTACACGTAGATTTCTTTACTGCAACAACCTGCAACGACCTTCAAGCCCCTCCCTCTTCGTCTAACGCTACTCCGCTCTTGCCCGCTCGGTACCATCGCCGCAACAAGCACTACAATCAAAACAAAATTCTTTAGATTCTTGAATTGTTATTTTCTATTCAAAAACACCCTAATATTATGAACAATAACAACTCATTCAGTGTTGTTGACAGGGCCTTATATATTACGGTCGGATTCTAAGAACTTATTCCAAATTACACCGTGGCTTGTTTCAAAATATTGCACTAGTTGAGATTTCCTGTCAATTCCGGAATCCACAAGACTGGCCCTCAATTCTGCCAATTTTAAATCATCTCAGTTGTGTGTGATAGAGTGTCAAAGGCAGGAGTTTGTACGTATGGTATTCTGTTAAAAGAGTAGTGGCTTTTCGGTGTCTAGTTATCGACCTGCTATTTAACTGCCGTTGTATTGTTTTGGTGTTTTACTCTTCAAGGGCGAGTCGATGGCATATGAATGCCATCACTGCCATTCCACTGACACTCCATTGAGTCGTAACTGTCATTAGACTAGATTTTAGCAGAATTACAAATAAGATCATAATTGCTATATAATCCCAGTGGAGTCTCCATGGAATAGCAAAGACCAGGGATTTCAAGAATATTAGCTGACTTGGGGACCTGTTCTTGTAGCGATTAAGCAAGAGTGACATCCATGCCATCACACCATACTGTCTGTCGCCTTTACCTTGTACTATTATGAATCCGTGAACATCAAACTTCGCTAGTATAATTCAAAAGACGTAAGTTTTGATGTCTGTAATGTTCTCACTAATACGTTTCCAAGATACCAACACTAATTCAAGTTTCATTTGAGGTGGAATTAACTTGCATATTATATCACCTTTGAATTATGATGAACTGTTGGAGAAGTACATATAAGAGAAATTATAGTTTGGTAGCCAGGCTGTATTTGTTCAGAGTTTCTGTTAGTAAAGATTTTGTTAGATAGTTGATACATTTCTCTAATTAATTATGTATCATTATCAACCCATTTGTACGTCCCACTGCTGGGCACGGGTTTCCTCTCAGACGAGGGTTTAGGCCACAGTCAGCCGTGCTGGCCCAGTGTAGGTTGGGTCTTTACACATTTTCCCTGGGTTGTAAACCTTCTTCGACATGCATGTTTTATCACCATATCTTTCTTCACCGAAAAGTTATGGTAAATTTCAAATTAAATTTGGCACATAAATTCCGAAAACTCAGAGGAGTGAGCCCGGATTAGAACCCACGACCTCTGGTTAGAGTCGATTGGTCGAATAATAAGGCTACCACATACACAGTTAATTATTTCCTTTACAAACAAATGTGGAGATTAATGGAATCAATCATAACTTTTCATTGAATCAATCACAACTTGATTAAATTCATTACTCGAAATTGTTGCGGCAACTATTGTGCTCGATGAGCTCAAATTGATTGATTGTGTGGTGTGATTAGTTGCATTAAGCTACACTAAATGAGAGTCAATTTTTTTTAGAGCACATATTATGTAGGGTACATCAACTTTGTTCTAAATAAGAATATAATGTTATCGCTATGTTTCGAGACTAAAAACGTTCCATGTTTATTTAGTTGGTTAATGAAGTGTCGTTTTTAAGGGCAGGCTTAAAAACTTTTTGTTGTAAAGAAATAATTGGCTTACGTAGCCGTTTGCGTAACAGGGATTGTTGTTTTTATTTAGACCTAACACGAATGTCCGCGAGTTTATTCATGACCGAGACAAAAAGCCTAATGTGTTAATTCATCATATTATACGGTTAAACATTTTTATTACAATTTAGATTGTTGAGAAGATCAAAGAAAATACTTTTTGTTACGTGGAAATATTTAGTAAAATTGGGACTTTACAATAACACGCCATATTTAAAAAAACAACGGGTCGTATTTTTCACTTCAAAAAAAGAAAAAGGTTCTCAATTCGACTGTATGCTTTTCTTTTGTATGTATGTTACTCGATGACTCCGATTTGTAAACCCATTTTGATGATTTTTTTTTTGTTGAAAAGAGGGTACCTCAGGAGTGGTTCCATTAAAATTTGAAGACTATTATAATATTCCAATGTTAATGTTGGCAAACTAGGGTATTAATGACTTTTGAGGTTGACTTTTTTAGTACTCTGTAGTGAGATTATTATTTCCTATAGTTGTTTAACATGGTGTCGTAAAAATACGGATTTATGAAAGAGAGTAAAGATAAGAATGATGATGCCGCGAGCTTTTTCAGAAGTTGCCGACGGATTATATATACGTTCAATTGTCTAATACAATCTAAAATAACGTACTTTTACCTCAATTATACGGTTACTTTAAAAGCTAAGTAACCGGTTACAGCGTTAATTAAACTGCCAGTGGCTCCAGTCTGGGCCACTTAACTGAAATTGCCTAGTAAATCATCTTCCGTGAATTGTTGTTCCGTAATTTATATCTAAATTATAGTAAATAATATACTTGTAGCAATAAAATTTTAACATAACTATAATATTTGCTGTATAATATTTTGCGGTGCACCTATGTAGTATCGCGTTTTGAATTACAAACATCCAAGAGTTTTTTAGAAACAGGTAATAATTATAGAAAAACGTTAATCCTGTAAAATGTCACTTCAAATTAACTGCTTCCGTGGCCTAACGGTTACCATACCGGACTGCCTTGCGGAGGTCCCGGGTTCGATTCTAAATATTTGTACGGCCTACGTGTATTTCTCTCGTGAGTTTGGATGTAACTAGGTATGTATCCCAGCACGGAGTTATCGCGTAACATACATACAAAAAATACAGTCGAATTGTGAACCTCCTTTTTTGCAGTCGGTTAAAAAATAGTTATGTTCAACAGTCACTTTCAACGTTAAGTCAAGTGTTTTTTTCTAGAAATATATCCATTCCATATCCATTGAATATCAATTCAATAAAAATTTGAAATTTCAATTTATTAAAATATATGCGGCTGCGTAAATTTAACTAAGGCTTATTCTATAGTGTTGCAGCATAATTTTAATTTTAATAGCAAACTGATGATTTAATATAGAACAGTACATTTAGATCGATATAGTAACAGTGCAGTGACCAATTTCATCAAAATCGAACATCTTTGGTGATTGGACTTTGATAAGTATTAAAAGTAAATGTACGTGAGTTATTAGGAGAGGCAGCATGCATATTGGAAAAGTGTCACAGTTTTACGAAGTAGTAGCCAAAGTGCCCACAAGACTGGAATGTCGCTTAAGTTAGGACCAATATCACAAAAGTCGATAAAGTCAACCTTATCTCCTTGGCGTAATGTAAACTTTTAAATATATTCAAATTTCAGTCAAAAAAACACCTAACACAAGGACGATTTTTTTCCGAAAGTATTATCTACAGATATTTAGGGAGGTTTGAAAGCTCGGCTTACTATGACGATGGCCGCACGTGGGGGTTGTCTGATGGCCCTCTATAGAAAATTCATCGTGCGTGATACTCTGCAGTATTCGCAAAAAATCCTTTTTTCAGAAAGTATACAACGACTGTTTCGGATTTTTTTAAAATACAAGGTTTGTTAGGTTCAACATTTTTTGCAGTATTTAAATACGGCAGCTTGTGTCGCTTGCTAGCTTTTGTGCAATTTTTTAATATTTGTCCATTATCGATCAACGCGATGTGGGGAAGAGCTAGGTTTTGTCGACTAATAGCACTTCGTCATTTTGGAGATGTGAGAATATTTATTCGGTCCACTGCTGGGCATGGATCTGAGGAGAACACTTAGCCCATAATCCTCTGCGCTGGTCCAATATAGGCCGGTGACTTTTTTCCAAAGGTTGTAAACCGTTTTCGATATGCAGGTTTCATCGCGATATTTTTTTCACCGTTGGTAAGTTGCTATTAAAATATTTACACTACGTCCATTGACTTACATATAAATGGATGACGGGTCTAATACAAAAACCACGAAAAAAATGTCCCAAGTCAACCTATTTAAACGTAGTGACATGTCAAGGAATATGAAAAAGCTACAACGTTGAACTTAAATTGTAATGTCATCGCAGTACCGTCTAATTTTGCTTGCTTCGCTGTCAGTCGAACAAACGAAGACTAGAGCGTGAATGACGCTCTGTATACGATTTTAACGCCCTATAAGTTCGGACACTTTTTAGTGCGGACCCGACGTCCATATAATTGTAGGTCAATGACTACGTCACAGAATTTGGAACGTCGATCCCTAAATTGAGAAGCACCCGTGCCGTCGCTGAGTTACCATCGATTTGTTAGAAAACAGACATAATACTGCATGCAAGCAAGTTTGCACCTTCTGCATTTATTCTCGATTAATTTTTATCATCAATACTACCTATATGATCATGTTTAATCCATATTCTACTACCGCTGGGTATTTCCTATGAAGAGTATGTTTAGGCGTTAAAGGCCTACCTGTTTGTGTTAGGGCCGACGATCTGACGATCACTGCCATACCGTTCCATACCGCGATGTGCCATTCGCACTCGTCAATGTCGACGCCGACTCGTGCCGTGGTAATCTAGTTAGTTTAGACACTTATAGCATCGCAGTCACATGTAACGTCCTTGTCGTCAGTGAAAATATTCTGAGCAAGAAATTTGCTGACGTCCCTGATCGTTACGGACACTGACAAGTGCGGATAACTTCGTACTTGCTGCTTTTTAGAAGGCCTTAATCCACCATCCTATCTCAAAGCGAGACTTTACATGTCTTTCCAACATTTGCGTGAACCTTCTTCATGGTTTAGGTTGGATAATAATTGACAAATCAACTACTTGATCCCAAAAGATCCAGTGGTGCATTCTGTGGAAACTGAACCCTACATAGAAACCGATCATTTTAATTACAAAGTCAACTTAAATAATTAGTAATATAGTGTTGATAAAGTCACCAATGTCTTTTGTTTCAGAAAACTCGATATCGGGAACATCGACATTAAACGCGAAGAAACACCGGAACAGGAACTACAGACAAAGTTCAATGCCCAAACTTGGCTTACAAGACGATTACGGTAAAGGATTGTTTGACAAAAGGCAATAAAAAGCTGCTATTGCTCCGAAATACATGGGATTTTGTCCTTGCTCTCTCTAAATCTGACGTTTATAATGGGCACGCACCACAATGGCAGTACTCTGAATAAGGCTTCACAAAAGGACGCCAATTAATAAATAGGAATTATGAAAAAAAAAGTTTTTTAAATAGTAATATAAAATTAAATGAGATAAAAACTCTTATTCTTAGTCAAAAATTAATGCCCATTTTAATTAAATAATTAATTTGAATTATTTCGAAAAAGTTAAAATGTAACATAAATTTTAATTTCTCATTAAACTTTAAATGTCATTTTAAATAACAACGCCAAATTTTATTACTATCTAAATACTTAAACCTTGAATTTTATTGCCCGTTTCAAAAAATCTCCGAAAAGACAAAGGGTCGGTCTAGACCTATCTGCTTTTCATTATGAGTCCAATCTGGTCAAGTCGTTCAGTGACTTGGATTTTTTTGTGTTATAACTCCACTAATTTTGTTATGATTATGAATATAAAGATCGATACACACAAAAATTTTCGTCGATCCAGTGGGACATAAACCTACGTACATGCTGCACCGTAGCATTGTTCTAACCATCTGAGTTACGGGTCCAGTTACCGAGTCGTCGAAATTCTCTTATGTGTTTTTGTTATAGATCTTTGTACCGACTTTTCGGCATTCGTCGCCGCTAGTGACATTATGTGAGAGATTTTTTTCCAACCGGGTCGACGAAAATTTTTCTGTGTGTTCGAACTTTGTATTCATAATAATAAAAGAAGACAAACCCATCAAATCGGTCAGTTCACGTCGGTCAGTCCGTTACCCGGCCAAACATATGGCCCGTTGAAAACGACATTCACTCAAACGGAATTCTCGCCTATTAAAATTTAAACTCAGTTTCAGAAACTTTAGTCACCTTTTCCCAAAAGCAACTTTTTCGTTTAGCGACGGTATCAAATTCCTTTACTTTGATAATACACAGATTTTAGTTTCGGTCAAAAATAAAAATATTTAAATAAATCTCTCTAAGCGTCGGTAACTCCGTGCGGTAACAAAAGAAAGCGCTAGCGTAATTACCAGTTCGACTTAATATGCAGGAGCGGGGGTGGGGGTGGCTACCAAATACAGATCTAAAAAGTAGCAGGTAATACAACACAAACTTAAAAGTTCATTTTTGGTAAATTTGTTATGTTTTGTAAAAGGTCATGGAAGAAAAGTTGTTGTTTGTGAGTTTAGTAATATAGTCCTGGGAGTTGTTAGTATTATACAAATAACCGTGTACGACAAGCGGGCTTCAAAACAGGTCACATTATTCCCAAGAGGAAATTTCGAACGTGAAGAAAAATACCATATACCTCATCCATAAATTAGGAGCTCTAGGTGAAAAGACACGACTATTGATAACTATACTTTAATCAAATCCAGTATAGAATGTTTAATAACAAAACGTTGATAAGCAACCAATGATGGCATGGGAACAGAACATTTTTTTCTGAGCTCATATTTAGGCTCTGCCCATGTCCTGCTTGCGTAATATACTGGGTTATGTATGTAGATAATTGGGTTATTTATTTATTTAATCTTAATTGCACACAAAATAGTACAAATGGCAGACTTAATGCCATTAGGCATTCTCTACCAGTCAACCGGAGAGCTGGGTTCAAAATAATTAACAGGGGTGCATAACTTGATAATTAAAACAGATTAGATTAGATTAGATAGGTTATGTAGAATAATAATACTTACATGGCCAATTATTGTGATACACATGATTTATGGATAAAATAAGTATTTTTTTGATTCTATTAATGCCACTGTTAGACAGTAGATTATCGTAGATGAAAAGAAGCAAAATTGTCTAATTTTATTTTGTATTAATTTACTAACTTAGCTCATCCAGCATCAATTTCCGATTCTGAACTTGAATTACTACTCGAAGTAGAAATGTTTGCAATCTCTCCTTCAAATAAAAAATAATAATTAGGGATGACACAGTTTTGTAAATAATTTATTACTGGTAATTTTTATATCAGTTTCTTCTATTATACATACTTCTATAAACTTATATTTAACAAAATTCATCGCAGGCGCATTACTTCAAGATTACTATTATCAGTAGCCTAATCGAATTTCGAGAAAAAATATTGAAATTGTTATAGCTGTAAATCAGTCTTAGGTGAAAACCCTAAAAATCACACGTTTTTGTTTGTTGACATTTATTCTACATCGAATTTGGCTACAGTATAAATGTAAGAAATACAAGGGTTCATAAGTTGGCCGTACGTAATGTACACCCGTAAACGTTGCGTATTTTTATAGACATTTTATTTGCAATCTCTGTCTTTGTAGTCTCTTTACTTACTCGTAAATGAAACCTGTTTGTTGTTTCTTTATAAAAACTGTGGAGATTCAAGAATTTTCTTTTTTGCTTTTCTCCGTCTATTTTTACTTTATTTTGAAAGCTTCTTTTATGTCCAACAATAATCCTTAATAACCACCTCTCGGTACCTTTTTTTAAATCAGGGACGATTAACCTCAAAAAAGAGATAGCTGCAATAAGTCTGCAGTCCATTTTCGTCCAGCCTTAATACCTCTGAATCACAGTATCTCATTAATTCTCATACACGATGTTAAAAAATATTCAAAATGAGATAACTTTACCCATCATAATGAAAAGAATACCCTTATATAACTTATGAAAACAGAAATTTCCTTAAATTCTGCGTTCATATCTGTTGATATTACGTCTGGTAAAAAAAAATCCGTATATTGGATACCTCATAAAATTTTCGACGTTCTTATTTTTTTGAGCATCCGCTCAAATTTGATGATGTTTTCTGGGAAGATGATGAAAAAAAAAATTTCAAATTAGATATCGGTTCCTTAAGAAACATTCTTTGGTATCAACAAATTTATTTTGTCGTTGAAATTACCAACATTTTCCAATGATGAGAATATTATGTTCCATCATTTTGAAACTAGAGTGTAAACCAGTATTAAGCAAATAAAAACTGTAGGATAAATCGAAATCGTTCAAAACAGATTATTTTATAATTCGTTCTGTTAGTTTAGGATTAAACTTTATTGACGTCAACTAGTTTCCATTAAGTAAAAAAGGTAATTTATAAGCCTTACATTAAATTGATTTTGAAGCTTTAATGTCGTGCTTCGTATATATTTGAAGAGGAAATTGGATTTTTTAACTTATTTTTTGCAAATTTGTTGGCATCTTTGTATTTCAAATTAAATTTTATTTTTATTTTGGAAAATGAGGTTTCCTTCTAAGAGAATCGTAATTTTAATATTAATAATGTTTTCGTTTTCATTAATATATTTATTTACCAAACACAGTAACGTAAATAAATTGAAAATGTGAAAGTTAATTTGAAAAAATATATAATTACTTTTTAATATTGTTTACACACCGCCTTTGACCCCTGAATAGAATTACAAAAAAAAAATCGTGGAAAATATTTTAAAACGAGCATTTCAATACATTACTAATATGTAGCCAAATTTATTAAAATAAGGTTCACATGGTCTTTTTATAATTTTATTTTCAGATTGTAATTCTAAATTTAAATGAATTTTTTTGGCGCCTTTTGTATAATTTGTCATTGTTTATCTATATTTTATTGCTCGTGCACATTGTTAGGTATTTCAGTTTTCTTTTACGTTTGTGAAATAAATTGCACCCAAGTTCAGTTCCATATAATTATTTTTTAATTAATATATATAATTATTTTCATGCAGAAAGTGCACAAAATTATGCAAGTATGGGAGTGTGCAGAACGGAATCGTTGAATATACAACTGGAAGTGCCTCCAGGACAGAGCAGTGGTCTAGCTGTCCACGAAGAAAACGGTTTACTGGTGATATCTCACGTGGCGACACAGTCGCCAGCCTACAGGTAGGAATTTATTTTATCTATAATTAAAGATGGTGCAAATGATTTACAGAAGTTTCACACTCTAACAAAGGACCTAAAATATTGTAAATTAAGTGACTGGAAAAATGATTGTTATCACTGACAAATATGTAGACACATAATAGATGGAACTCGATGTTAGAAGGAAGGGAGTTTTTTAGGTGAAAGCGAATGTTTGTTGCAGTTTTCATTTTTTACAATGAGGTACCTGATAATAGACAGAAAATACTTCTACATTTTTCATTCTAAGGTCACTAATATTACTAATACGGTTAGTTTTGGAACGAATTAACAATGATACAGCCGATCTATCTACCGCATAGATTAATTATTAATTAAAATACAATGGCTAATGATTAGTGATGGGAAAAGGTAGAGTTTTTTCGAGGAAAAAAGACAGAAGGTGGAGACTACTTTACGACAATATTTTTTAGGTCCTGGATCTTTTCGGGTTTGGGGAAATTTCTTAAGTACATTGACGTTTTTTGGGATAGGTTAGGTTAGGTAGAGGTAGACTATTTTTCTTAACTTCACGACGAGTTGTTGCAACAACAATTTTTTGAAATATTTAGGAAAATTCCGACAAAAAAGTAATTTTTTTTCAATAATTTTTTTTTAAACGTGTACATTTTACAAAATTCTGTCTCCTGCCAAACTGGAAACCATTACTTAAATCATTTAATAAGAGTTGTTAAGAGGGAGCATGCCAAAAAAGTTTTGACGTTGGCTCCGCCCAAATTTGTGAAACAAATATATGCTTCAAGTTCGCGTGACATGCGACAGGAGATGTTGAATTTTGCGCATTAAAAGTACCAAATTCGTTTTAGCGGAATAACTCTAAAACTAAAGGGATTAAAAAAAAATCCGTAGTGACAGTTGTCGATCATGCATAAATATAATTAGTTATCTAATTTTTGTCCTAATAACCTGTAGCATTTCGAGGATAAATCGAAAATATGTGAAAATTAGAGGTCATTTCGTGATTTTTATCTATCGAGGAAACTTTATTGTTTTATGTTTCTGATTAATGTTTATGCTTGAATATATCGCGTAGTTACTCATACAATATTTTATTTTTAACTTTAAAGTGGATATACCCCTCTAAAATCAAATCGAAGATTAGGAATTTTTCCTCTACTCTGCTGCTCGCTAGTTTTTTTTTAATGAGACAGTATGGGTAAATCCGAAACCAAAGAAGATACAAGGAAGCTGACTTAGAAACCGTAAAGGCTTTTTTTGTGAAAATAATTTTGGCATAGTCGATTTTTTGGCCAAGCGTGAGTTGACCATAAAAATAAATGAAATTGATCAACATTTTTTATAGCTGATCGAGTTAGTTTCATGAAAGGATTATTTCATTCTATGGGACGAACCAAATCGGGACAGCAGAAGTTGGTCAAATTTCATAAAATATTTTTCTAACAAAATGAATAAAATTGACTAATTTTTTTAATGTTAATAGACTGAGTTTCTTATAAGGATGACTTCATTGTATTGGAAAAAAAAAAAATCAAATTTAATAGAATGTTATTAATTTTGTACGATTTTTTTATTAAATTTGATTTTTTTTTCCAATACAATGAAGTCATCCTTATAAGAAACTCAGTCTATTAACATTAAAAAAATTAGTCAATTTTATTCATTTTGTGAGAAAAAATATTTTATGAAATTTGACCAACTTCTGCGGTCCCGATTCTTTTCTGTCAATACAATAATATCACCAGCACCCTTCAAAACTCGAACACAGTAATGCTGACATTACTGCTTGGCAGCAGAAATAGATAAAATGGCAGTCCTACCCTGGGCGAACTCCTTCACAAGGTGCTCTACTTCTGCTAATATACCGTGACATTGACTTTTTCATTGTAATCGTGAACTGACCAGTGACAGATAAATATTTGCAAAAGATAAGATTGAAAATGTTTTATTCCCTGGCTAGTATTGCTGTCAGCAGGTGCTTAGTAATTAACTTGTTTTCTAAAATTTCTCAAAAAACTCACGAACTTTTATTCCGGTTATGTTACTTTAAAGTGGTCAATCATTATGAGATATGTAGGTGGTTCTAAAATTATCCACACCTAATTTATTAGCGTCTACAAAGGAAAGATATACGAAGGAATTTCTAATAAGCATTTGTATGTACAAACTCGGACACGTTCCTACTTATTCCATGAAATTTATTAGAAACACTATTGGAATTTCAATATCCAACGATAAACTAAGGTCAGAATGGAATATACTTGCCGTACGTACTTACTCCATTAGTTTATAAACTACACGTATAAATTAAACACAAATACCAGTTTAAACTACTTTAGAAATATCTTTTGAAGTTTGATTTGGCGTGAAAAAGAAAATAAAATAGTGTAGCTAAAAGTACGTAAGTAGACAAAAAAACGAGAATTAGAATGATTGGATACCAGCAAAAAAATACGTTTATATTGGTTCTATCGTTTTCGTTCAGTAACTTCAACTTTTGACAGGTGTCAACGTCAAATGTGAAAATGTAAAAAAATATCCGAATATATTATATTTATTTTTCTGAAAAATATGATATTTTCAAAATGGAAATTTTGAATTAGTCACGGCTGACTGTGAACAAACGTTGGTTTGTTTGAAAAAACAAGCATACGCGATTTAGATCCGCCAAAAAAACAGTCTCATTTCCTAAATTCATTATTTTTATATTTTTTCACAGTCATCGTGTTTGAAATTCTAAAGAATATAATTTATCCAGTTCAATGTTGAATCAAATATAACATGTTTTCAATATACTGAATTCATTGTTTTTGCAAGGATCACGATTGAAAAAAATGTTGATTATTTATTGAAACAAAGACCGAACAAACTCAAAGAAAATTTCCTTCGTTCTGACTGTACTCGAGCCAGCGTCTGTATGCCTAATACAGTCCGAGTGGGCTGATCTTACGAAACTCTACTTGTGAAGAAATACTGTGAAAAAACTCGATAAACTTTCATAAGTTCCCTACGGTAAAAACGCCGTTAATACCCAATAAAAAGATCTGCAACAAGCAATCATGGTTCCAGTCACATTGAAGGAAATTTTCTTTGTGTTTGTTCTATCTTTGTTATCAGTACAATATTTTCTCAAAAATATAAATATCGAGGTAGTAAAAAATTGTGATACTAGTCACAAATACATAATGTAAATTATCGTCTTGAAAAAAACGCTTAAAAGTTAACTATTCTAAATCCAAATGCGAGTTATTGTTGCGTTTGTAATTTTAAAAACTATCTCATTTAACGGGTATCTGGTGAACCACGAATGTCGGTATTAGTTTCCAAAGCATATCTACTGAATGGTTTTTTAAGCTTAATTAGGGTAAGACCGGGGTAGATGGCCATAGTTTTTTCAAAACGCTGTCAAAATAAAATTTTAGATATTACATTGCAAATCATTATTTCTTATTAAACTTTAAGCAATTAACTCATTGACTTACAAAAAATCAATGAATTAACTATTAATTATTTGACAGGAAAAAATACAAACTGTCTTGAGACCAACCTTAAAATATGTTTTAAAAAAAAATTACGATTGGTTTCACACATTTCGAGGTGTCCGGGTGTGATGACCATAGGACTATGGGTAAGATGGCTAGTAATTATTTCCGGACTTAGATAGGTCTTTTACTTGGTGTTTTGTTTTTTAAGTCTTCTTTTTTCTTCATGTCGTCAAATTCTCAGTTTTCTTGAACCCAAAAGTGGCACAAGACGCTTAGGAGCCAGTCTTTGATGAGGCAGGTTTCATAGCAGCAGCAGCTTTAATAGCTATGAATTCTTATGTAATTGCGATTGTTACTCTTATGAAATGAAATTATTTTTCTGGATCGTTGACTTACAAATAAATGGACGACGGGTCTAATACAAAAACCACGAAAAAAATGTCCCAAGTCAACCTATTCGAAATTTAAATTGTAATGTCATCGCAGTATCGCGCTGTCAGTAGAACAAATGAAGACTAAAGCGGAGTTTGGCGCTCTGTATACGATTTTGGCGCCGTACAAGTGCGGACACTTTTTAGCGCGGACCCGACGTCCATATAATTGTAAGTCAATGTTCTGGATTTACATTGCGTATATTGTTTTTCAAACTAACCAAAGTTTCGGGCTCATTGGCTGCTTTTAATGATTCTTTAGTGCAATTCCCTCTCATTAGGGATAGCTTTCTTTTGTATTTAGTATGCATCTAAAACAAGTTCGAAAATAAATAAATTATTTTATTAAGAATAGATAGGCCTTTGTGTAATCGGTATAAGTTGGTCACATGGCCATCTTACACCGATTTTGATTGGTCGTCTGTCCCAATATTCCGAGAGAGGTGGCTACTCATAAAATTTAAATAAGAAAAAACATGAAACGTAGAATTTTAAGCTTATAAGAAAGCATTGGATGTGGACTAAGCGATAAATACCAAAAAAAAACAAACCATATTTAGAAAAAATAACTTCATTGTAGTGTACTACATGAACCCTCCAAAAAATTTTAGCATTACTCAAAACAAATAACAAGGTTTTTACTTGCTTTTTCTTTTCTTTACTCGGCCGGCATATTCGCCGTACACTTGCACTTAGACACGAAACGATGCGAACTGAGCAATAACTATCGCCATCTCGTTAGCGGAACATTGAAATATTGCGATTGGCCATCTGCCCCCTATGGCTATCTAACCCGGTTTTACCCTAGTCAAAATTCAAAATATAACTAAACTTAATTCCATTCAGAACCCTGCAGAGAACAGTCGTCCCTGAATAAATCAATATTAAATGACATAGCAAATGTTAGGAAGTGTAAAAATTACACTTAATTTTTCATATAAAAAAATTTTCTACAAAAACTCAAGTGAAAAGAAACGTGCAATAAGTTTTCTGTGGCAGCATATGTCGTATAAAGGTGGTCTTGTTTCTTCTCAGATCCGGCTGCCTACAAATAAGAGACAGGGTAATGTCCATCAACGGCCACGAAAATTTAACACTGGATGTGGCTAACGAGATACTGCAGAGGAGAAATGATTCACACAATCCCAAATATTTGACTTTGAACGTGGAATTCAGTATGCCGAATACGATTGAAGCTTCGAGTGGCGTCTTCAGCGTCAAGTTGGCGAAGACTTCTGCTGGATTAGGAGTTACTATAACGGGTATGTACATTTATGTCGGTAGCACAGATTACCTAGTCTCGAATTAAAGGAATGCCCACTCACCTCTACCTTTGTTTATCTATCGTCTACGAGTCATGATGACACCATGTGAAAAAGCCATTGGACTTAATAATCTCAGTACAGAGTACTGAAAAACCAACCTCAAAAGTCATTAATCCCTTAGTCTGGCACCCTTAGAGGTGGAATATTTTCTTCGAATTCAAATGGAACCAATACTAAGGTACCCCTCTTTCCAACAAAAAATATTATCACGTAACACAGAATTCCTTGAGTCTGTTAATAAATAAAAATAAAGCAAGAGAAGCTTCCCAAACCATCTTACTAATTTCTTGGTCAACTATATCAATTTATGGAATTCTCTATGCTATAAACCTGAGTAACGAGTTTAACGTCGTGGGTACTAGGATTTTCAATCTCGCGTCATTTGCGCGTCTCGGGAAAAAAATAATAAAGTTTGAAAAGAATCGATATTTCCGAGATTGAAAACGTCACTCTCAAGTCTCGAAAATGCCAAAAATTGTGGAGACACCAAGTTTTCTAGACCGAGATTCCCGGGATGAAAGCCTTAGTGGGTACTACCCATAACTCTCGGACCAGAATCAGTTTAAAAAAATGATCGTACCAGAAACCACCTAAGGGTATCTCGTTACGTAGAGCCCACATTGCTAACTGCATCGGCATCGTGGCCTTCAAGACTACCCAAACTAATTTTGAAAAGTATCGGTTATACTCGAGGCCATATTTTAAGAGCCGATACTACCTCAGCTCGAATTCAATTTTTTTCCTTGGGTCGAGCGGTAGAGAGACCGGCTTTATTTCAGAATTAATTTTTTTACAAACGCAATTAAAGCAATTTCAAAAATGTATATCGTATACTATGTGTTCTGTTTAGTTTAGTTGATATAAAAAAAAATTGGTATATATACAGTACCTATTGAATACAGCGGTTTTCTTGTTTTTTCTATCGTGAAAAGTTTTAACAATCGTGATTTCACATCGTTTATAAATCAGTATATATCCTCAATTTTGCTGAATTTTTTTTTTCAAGGTGATTAATTCAACGCTGTTACTATTATGCGGAATAAACCAAAGCCATATGAGGTTATATTGACTCTTAACAGAATGCAGAGTATCTACTGTCCTCGTTATAACTAACGTTATTGACATTTTTAGACAAATTGAGTCTGGAATCAGCAAACTTGATCTATAACTCCCTCTAATAGGTCTTTTAATATCTTGTTTAGTTTCAATTTTATTATAATTATTAATACAAAGAGATCGAACACTCAGAAAAAATTCCAAAAATTCCAAAAACGAACCAGCGGACTTCACGAATTTTTCTGTGTTAGTTGTCGTGTCTTTGTATTTGGTTTTTTCAACGACTGTTTAGCCGTAGCGCCATCTGTGAGAAATCTTAAGTATATCGTCACCCAGTTAGATACCTTTACAGCTACCAGCGCTGGCTAGAGATGTCGCTACTCATTGTATTTCAATTTTTATTAAATTGGTATTCAGTTATTTTTATGTAAAATTACTCCACTAGTTTGTTATAATTATTAATACAAAGATCGAACACTCAGGAAAAATTCCTTCGATCCAATTTTATTGTTATATAAAATAGCAAATTTTTGAGGTGACAATAATTTAGGTGCAAATATCTCGAAAATTACCAAAATGCAAATGCGTTAATTGTGACAAGGAAGGCAGAGTACTTGAACTAACCAAGATCATCTTAACATTGGCATAAGTATTAACCAATTGAATATCCCTTAGTATACGGCGTCGAGTTGCGATTTTATGATAGCCAACAAATCAACATTTTCTGCTGATTCGTGATCCGCTATCGATTCATTAAAACTAACGTCTATTCTCCTCATCTTTAATCTACACGTTAGATGGTTGACAAGGTTACCTTACGTGGCCCTAATTTTGTTTGTTACATCCTAAGCCAACAGTCCTAATTGGTGTTCCGTTTGTTCAATAACAAACGAAGCGAGGCCGGACTAGATAATTTCTCGTCGGAACTCAGTGCTTAGCATGCTTAAGCACTGCACAGGACACACTTCAGCAACAACCGTGCTGACGAAATTTGTAATATCAACCCAAGCACATGTCATTAGTGGTATCAGGTCTCCTCTTAGAAGAGGGTATAGGTCCTTGGTTAGAAAGATCAGATTTTTTTTTTAATTGGACTACTTTTTAAGTAAAAAGGGCAAATTTTTGAGTTGATACCCTTTTTATCCAAGGCGACGATTTGTGTACTTTAATAGAGTACAACAATATTTTGTTAGTTATTACTAACATTTAATAGAAAATCGTTTAAAAAATAAGATTAAAATCAAAGCGACTCTAGTTTCTTTGTTCTAAAAATTTCAACCGCCTGTGGTTCGAACAATTGAAAATGAAGAAGTTTAATCTACGCGTCTTGAAATTGACGTAATGGGTCTCTTTCCATCTTTTGCTATGCAATGTGTACAATGTGTACAAAAAGGACAGTTAGCTATTTGATTATTTTATTTGCTTTTGTAATTTATATTTGCGATTCATTTATATATAAATTAAATACTATACAATTGTACAAAATAAGACTTTTCAATGATAACTATGATAACACAATATATTTGTTTAGTGAAAATATGATACAAAATCCTACTGTTACATTTTATTGCAGTAATTTTTACAAGTTATTATTATATAGTACTGCAAGATTGACAACCGCGCTGTCAGTAGAGCAAACGAAGACTGTTGCGCGATTGATGCTTTGTATGTGATTTTAACCCCCTATAACCTATAGGTGACCTTTAGGTGTGGACACTTTTTAGCGCGAACCCGACGTCCATTTGTTGGTAGGTCAATGTGTTTAAGTTATTATTAAAGAAAACTTATCTAGAGCGGCGGTAATCACGAGGGAGAACGGTTGCTTCTCAATTGAGACGTTGACTGGTCGAAACCCTGGGCGACAATGTAGTACGACTTTAATTCCTGAGTTACGTACATTTCAGAATTTTTACCAAAAATACCCTTCGGTTACAGCGACTAAAAACATGGTGATAGAATCTGCGTGTCGGAAAAAGTTTAGAACTCCTGGATTACGTGTTTGCCAAACCCGCATTGGGAAAACTTGGCGTAGTATGACCTAAAAAACTCAGTGGTGCAGAACCTTGATGGAAATCGATCGCGAGGGTCAATTTGGCTACCATTGCGTCTACAAGTGACGACAATGTTTGGGTTATCGACGATGACCAGATTATCATCCAAAAAGATACACTACTAGCACAAAAATGGGTAACTTATCGAACCCGGGACCTCTGAGATGGCTCTGATACACCATAAAAACCAGTGTACAAGCCACTTGACCACAGAGGCCGTCAAGTCGTATTGTGCGACACGTTCTAATACTTTTAATATCTGTAATAAGAAATAATATAACAAAAATGTATCATGAATATAGTTTTTTTTTACAAAATTAAAAGATTCAATTGGATACGTTGTTCAAACAGTTTATTGGGGAAATAAAATCGGGAAAAGAATTTTTAATTGTGAATATGTCAAAATAGTGAAACATTAAAATATAGTGTAATGAAAAAAACCGTAACGTGTTTTCGGACAAATGAAACAAAATCAATTTAATAAAAATTTAAAGATTTTCGGAGAAACAAATTGCAGTAAATCATGTTTCTAGCTTGTGATAGGTAACCACAAAAATGTGGTTGAAAAAGACAAAATAAAGTGACACACGCAAACTATATTATTGAAATGTTTCTTGGAAGAACATTGTGATTACCTTGGGCTGAGATTTATAAAACGACTGTGACTTCGACTAAGCAAATATAAAGCTAAGCTTTTATGTCTTTGAACCCATGGATTTTGGTGTTCAATTTGTAGTTACAGTGCAGATATCAATGTCTATCACAGACATATATCTATATAGACGCCGCAAGTACCGCGATCTGTATGAAAACCAAGCGTGCCACTTTTTTTGTACCTCCGATTACCTTACATTTAATAAGAGATATAGATAAGATACCTTTAATAGGAGACTAAGGCTTCATATATCGAACAGTCTGTTGGCATTCCTTACTGGTACTACCGCTGAGTAAATACATTTTTTTTATGACACCAAGTGAGGGGATCATTCACTTACAATGGACGTCGGGTCCGCGCTAAAAAGTGTCCGCACTTGTAAGGCGCTAAAATCGTATGCAGAGCGCGACACTCCGCTTTAGTCTTCATTTGTTCTACGGACAGCGCGATACTGCGATGACATAACAATTTAAATTTCGAATAGGTTGACTTGGGACATTTTTTTCGTGGTTTTTGTATTAGACCCGTCGTCCATTTATTTGTAAGTCAATGGAGGGGATGAACAACTTGTGCGCCTGGTGATAACTGACATGCCTGTCGCTACCAACCCTTGGATGAACTCTTTCACGAGGAGCTCTACGGCTACTGAAAACCTGGGAAAGCGTAGCAATATGTTTGTTATTCAGCCTGTTAAAAATAAAAATACGCGGTGCCTCAAATTATGTGTCCGAATAAAAGATAATGAAATAATATCAAAACCCAATAAATAAACCTGACAAAAATTAGTAATGACATATATTGTTTTGCGGTTAGTTTGGAGCATCGCTATAAAGCAAACAGTACCCAAAGTTGGAATCGGTATTTTTTTTAGAACAACAACCATGATGCCAAAAATAGAAAATCTCGACCCACATCAAATTGCGGAAAATGGCAGGTGTTTCGTACAAAGTACGGGACAGCTGATTATTTAGTTATTTGATACGGATCCCGTTACAAAAATTGTTTACAGTAATGGGTACTATCGTGTTCTAAGAATAAGGGACACTAACAAAATGTATATTCTACTGATGTCTTTCAGGATGCAAGCAAAAGCTACTCAGCAACGAAGAACCGATGGTGATATCGGATATAAAGCCTGGATCAGTGGCACATCGGAGCGGGGCCCTCGCCCCTGGAGACCAGCTCTTGGCAATTAACGGTCAACCTTTACATAACTTGTCATTGGTAAGTTACTTTGTTAAGAGAACATTTTCAACTTTAACTGTCTTCTAATAAGTGACTACAATTAAAGTTAAGATAATCATGTCCCTAGTATGTCAATAACACTTCTAAGAAATAATGAATTTGATAAGTGGGGAAATACATAAATCTCGTCGTCCTTATTAAATTAAACACTGTATAAAGTAATTACATAATTCCAGTATACTGGAGTCGTATTAGTCAATTTTTATTTTAAATTGCTTGATAATTGGAAATGAAACTAATTGAACAACTAGCAATATACGCGATGTACGCGAATGTATCCGTTACATATGTACGCGATTTAAATCCGAAGAAAATAGTTTCATTTCCTTCGATCATAATAATTATAATCGAAGTTTATTTCCAATACAATACATTGTGGTAACCTAACAACTCGATCCCTTTATAATTTTTTTGGTCGTCTATTTACTCCATTCGATAAAATATATAGCTGTATAAAACTTAATTGAAATGTAATACCCCTGTTTATTTAGTGTCCTTCTTGTTTTTGGCAAACAACAATTTTGTTTTCTAGTTTATTTTTCCTGCCGGCTGTAATATTTTATTACTAAAAGACGATCAAAATTTTACATTGATATTTATCAAATCTATCTCGATTAATATAATGTTAATGGTATCAATTTGTGTTAAAAGATCGGGAAGTCAACGCTCATTATTATTTTGTTTGCGATAGAAATATCGTTTTTCAAAGAATGTCTTGTGTTTTAAATAAATAAACTAAAAGAATCTATCATCGTAATTAAAGTCAAAAGGTCTTTGCTAGACAATTTTGGTATTTTCTATTATATTTTTATTAGTATAATCCAATATCAAGATTGTGTGAAGAATTTTTGTTACAAGTACAGGTACTTGAACAATAAAACAATTTTTTCTCAATTATTCGATTATTCGAAAGTTGAGACAAAACTGAATAATGATAGAGCAACATTTACTGAATTCTTCTAATATTTAATCGCCTATCGTTTCAATTGAAACCGTATTACATTTGTCATACAATACGCTTTATTTTAATCCATCTATCATCTCTTTCAGGATACAGCTTTTAACATTCTCCAAAATTCACCCGATGATATAATAACATTAAAAATAAGAAAACGTGACGTAACTGAAGACTGGCACACCATTCACAAACACAATCCAAAAATGACTTTACAAAGCTTTAGTAACATTGAAATTAAGGCTGTAGTACACAGTGGGGAAGATTCTGGACATCACACTGAAAGTCCTAACAATAGCGCTAAGGAAAGTGAAAGAAGCCATGGTAGTAACGAAAACAACGCGGTGTTTACTATCGAACTGATTAGACATGAAAATGGACCACTTGGATTGACGATAGCTGGAAGTGAAGATGCTACTCAGCCTATTTTACTAAGCGGACTCGTAGAGGGTAAGGCATTCATGATCCTTGAATTTGAAGCAAGTAAATTAAAAATAGGTTTTTTGAACAAGAAGTGTTATGAAAGTAGAAACGTGAACAAAAATTGTAACGACGTACCTTACTGAGTTTTGTTAGTGCAATTTTTTTCAATAGTATTTTAAGTACTTGTATTCAAGATTATCAAACAGAAATAACAAAAAATCTTAGATACTTCAAGATGTAATGAAGAATATTTTTTTATTTATTGTTCAGGTGGACTAGCAGAGAAATGTGGTAAACTACAAATTGGAGACGAGTTACTAAATATTAACGGAGAAAGTGTTCTTACAAAACCTTTATCTGAAGCAATAAAATTATTACAGCAAAGTGGACAGCGAGTTCAATTGCAGTTTTGTAGGAAGGTTACAGGTGAGAATATATTGAGGACAGAAATCTTACACGCAAATAAATTGCTGAAATAGGGGCTCTATTTATTTATTTATTTTTTACGTTTTAACTCAAATTAGCATCGCGGTCGAGTCTGGCTTGTCTTTAGTCTACGCGACGATCGCGCGGTTGTATTATTCACAGGAATTTGAATATTGTTGCCTAGTAAATAGAATTCAGATTCGCCATTAAGGTTCGTGAAAGCGTGTTAACTAGGCGGTCGCCGCGCGAAAACTTTCGCGTCGTGTAACTGTTAATATTCACGATTATGGTCATCAATGGAATGTATGATATTTTGTGGTAGTTTATTATTAAAAAACATATTGTTTGTATGTAGGTATGTAAACCATCCCACGTGAAAATTTATTTCTCTACATATTGTAGTAGCTTTGCAAAGAACATTCAATACAGCACGACCATACTTTTAGGATCTCTTGAAAGTGCTGAATGCAGTGCTAGAGATTCCAGCCACTCGACATCCAGCCCAGGCTTATCCAATGATAGCGCTGTAGAGTCATGGGATCAAAATACACCCGTTAGAACCAGCGCAAACTGTGGTAAGAAACTTTCTTAATTCACGTGCTTCCCTGTTCTTATCTGATACAGTGCGGATAATTTCTATTTCCATAATAAATAAAGTTTACGTTATAGGTAATTCTGAGGTTATAGAATACGCCGTCCCAGACAAAACCAGAATGATGGACAAACAACCGTATTCACCGACAGATGAAGACAAGCTCATGGCTTGCAACTTCAATACTGCACCCTCTTACGGCGTTAATGATCTACCACTACCTAATTATTCATTAAACAATTCACTTAAGACTTTCCATTACGAAAACACATGTATCATTCCTGATAATACTTTGAAGAACAAGCAGAATATAACAAGAGAAGATGATGTTCAACAAATCGAAATTTTGACCTCAAATATGAAAGACTGTCACATTCACAATATGGAGAAATCTTTGTGTAAATGTGACTACGTGCAAATGGGGCCGTACGGAATCGTATCTCCAAAGAGCAGACGGCCAAACTGGGATAACGATTTTTTGAACAATGGGATTTATACAATGACAACACCACAGAAGAGCCCGTTGAAACCAAATATACCCGGAACGAGTTTCCAATTTTCGTCAAGTCCAATTTATGAAAATGACGGTAAGCTTTTTTTTAATATTTATTGACGAGGAGTACACGCACTTATGCGTGTAAAGTGAGCGAAAGCGATAAATGTGGAACGTTGTAACTGCAGATTCGTAGTTTGTGTTTAACCCATTGTGTCAAGATAATGCCGCTTACGTAGCTTTTGTGTGATGTCGACAAAGTCATATTGAGAATACGCAATGACTTTTAAAAAATGTTTTTATTATCTGACTTACAATATAATATTTCTTATGATAATTCGAGGCTCATTCTTTTATTAACATCTATGAAATATTGTGAACATTATATAAGTTAAAAATGTTAAATATGCATTTATAGTTATCGAAGAGCAGTACCTCCTGACACAAGCTTGATAGCTTAATAGGAGGTATCATCCACTGTTAATGTAAAGTCAATTGTATTACTGAATTAAACATTTTATTTTTATTTTTTTATTATTTTTTATGAATTTAATAAACCTTCTGAGAATTGTGTAGACAAGCTTAGGTCGATTAATAATGTCAAGACCGCATGATTGTTTCGTTACTTTAATTTTCATATAATAAAACAAAATATTTACATTACAGGCCTATACGGTAGTGAATCGGTCTCATCACCAGCTCGAGGCTCCGTGCATCACGTGATCCTTTATAAGGATGCTATCTATGATGACTATGGGTTTTCAGTATCAGACGGCTTGTATGAACGAGGAGTATATATCAACAGGATAAGGAAGGGCGGTCCAGCTGATATTGTTGGGTTGTTAAGACCTTACGATCGGATACTGCAGGTTTGTTTTACCAAAACCTCTATTGTAGAGATTTCTCTCATTATTTACATAACGAAGTGTTTTCTTAATCCATTTCTAAATAACTATGGTAGCAGATCTAACATTAATTGTATGATTATCTCTAATGTTTGTGTGTAAATCTGTTTACTGCGGCTTTCCAGTCGACCCGTGACCGTGGATCGTAATCGCTCAGAAATATAGAGGGGAAAAATAAAAAGTCTTATCGCGGTATAAAAAAATGTAACTAATGACAATTAATGTTACATTTAGATATTTTTTTAGAAAATTATTAAAATTTATTTTTGTTTTGAAACGATACATTGGTACAGTATGTTACTTAGTACACAATCGGTAGTACTCTGGGCTTGACACATACAATTTAAATTAGTCTCTATTCTAAGAAAACTCTAAAGTTCGAAGTGTAATAATAATAATAATAATGACGCACACACTCAACATAGTCCCGCACTAGGGAAACTCTGTATCGAACCCAGGACCTCTGCATGGCAGTCCGGCATGGTAACCGTTCGGCCACGGAGGCAGTCAAGTGTAAAACGCACCATTCTGTTTTTCAAAGTACTCCCTATTTTTACTCTTTGCCCGATGTGTATGTGTAAAAAAAATAAAAAAGACTGTACTTTAACAGGTCAATGGTACGCGGACGGTAGACTACGACTGCTGTCTAACTGTACCACTGATAGCGGCTGCAGGTGATAGGCTGGAAATCGTCGTACAAAGAATGGTTACCTCACGGGTAAGTATTTTTATCACGTACTCGTATAATCTTTTACAATCGCCTGCAATGAAATTTATATACGTAGACAAATTGTAATTTATTTAGCGTAGGAAATATTTATTAAAATGTAAAATTATTTTGCACAAACAGACGTGATTACGCAAAAAATAATCCAATCCACAGTCGCCAAGGAGACGTAGGTTTTCGTTACATTAAATTTGTTATGTATTCTGCGTCTTTTGGTATACTTTACTTTAATAATCAATTACCCTATATGGGTGGCACCATTTCTGTATTACATCCAAATCATAGTATTTTGACAAATGCTGACAAGGTATATTACTAACAATACATCAAACGTTTACTAAGGTTATTTGAGTGTTTTTTCATTCCGTGTATACTAGTATTATACAAGTTTCAGTGCTTGTACATAGTATACTAACACAGGCATCTGAAAGGAAATAAAATACAACAGATCAGAATACACAAGTTGTATCAAAAAATATATTACGGGAAATAGTATTTTATTTTAAGGAAAATTTATTATTTTTTTCTGCGTGTAGCGTGAGCGTATTTTATTCATTTGCTATTAGACGTTTGTAACATTAAAAATAATAATATAATAATTATAATAAAAATCGTTTATTTTTCTCCCAACAAGTACGAGTACAAGTAGACGTGAAAGGTTGGGAGCCAGGATCCAGAGGCGGCTTGTGGAAGATATTAGTGGGGGTTCACTTACCTATGCATATTTTAAATAAAAAATCAAACTCACATGTATTGTTCCATTTTAAACAATGTCAATTAACAATATTACGCTTCTTAACAGCGATTGAATATTAATTAATTTTTAAAAACACAACAAAATGCGCGCGAAGAAAATACGGTTAGTTTATTTGATAAATAAAACTGGTAACACACGCGGAGGCGGAGTGCAGTCGGCGCATCGGGTGTACACGGCACGGCAGCGTTGCACGGAGCGCCACTCAAATCTTGCTAATTTTCTCATACTAATCTTTTCGTTTCACGTGTCGCGTCGTAAAGAAATTTCTCTTTCGCACTCATTGAATTCAGTACTGAACTTTGTAAACAACTTCGGTTTACAGGAGCGCATCGCGGAGCGCCCCACCACGGTACCCTATCACGAACTCGACATTTTTTCCGAAATTACGTTTGTTCACATTTTCATTACACCGAAAACCGAATTATAACGAAACCGTTGTTCGTTCAGGATATGTTGGGTGCTTATCGCGAAGACACGATTTGGTTCGGTTAGGTTAGATTTAAAAGAAAAAGAAAACATTTTTCTCTCAAAATTACTTTCGAGGTTATGAAAATTCGAGGAAACGTTATTTCTGAAAAATGTCATTTCGGACTAGTGATAGGTAACCCTCCACTACAGGGTTAGTAATGCTATACTATATTAGAGTGCAATATGAAAATCTAATTGTATGTTTGTCGTTCATTAATAATAACAACAAAATACTGCGGTTACTAACATGATATAAAAGCTTAATTAATAATTTTATTTTTAACCGACTTCAAAAAAAGGAGGAGGTTCTTAATTTGACTGTGTGTTTTTTTTGTATGTATGTTACGCGATATCTCCTGTATTTGTGAACCAATTTTCATGATTCTTTTTTTGTTAGAAAGAGGGTACCACCATAGTGATCACATTTAATTTTGAAGAAAATCATCCACCTCTAGGGGTGGCTGCTCACGCATGAAGATTCATTTTCATAAATAGCGCCTAAATTTTAGTATAATGAGCAATTATTTTAATGGTTGATTTTGCAATTCTTTAATTCAAGGCGTTTTTCTCTCTTAATGTACTTTGAGAAGTGAGAACCAATTTTTAATATCTCCTGTGTTAAGTCCCATATAGTGGCGAACTAGGGGATGAGTCCGGGTTTGCGCACTTTTCGGTAACCGATTTCAATAAAACTTGGTAATTATATGGTAATTCCACATACTTTTGCAGTCGGTTTTTTTAGTACTCTGTATGGTGGGTTGGATAGGAGTGGGAGTTCACTGCACCAGCCCTCCTTAGAATGAGCCGCCTCTGCCAGGATTCCCAACTACGTTATACCAGTGCTATTAGCCACCTGATCTCTAACACCGGATTACATCTACCGGCCGATTAAAAAAAGACGACATGGGTATAGGGATGCCAAAAAGTAAAAATAAAAGAACACTAACTAACAACTAAAAATATAAACAGAATTTACACATGCTTTAGAAAAAGAATGTGGGTATATACAATATGAAAAGATTAAAGTGTGGTCAGTTTATGTGAACATCAAGATTAATAATAAAACTGTGGCCGAACGGTTACCGTGCTGGACTGCCACGCAGAGGTCCCACGTTCGATTCCGGAGCCTAAAGAAATATTGTATGGCCTACAATTACTTCTCTCGTGAGCTTGGGTGTAATTTGTGGTTGTCTAAGTGTGTGTCCATGTCACCCGAGATACAGGTTTTCCCTTGTGCGGAGTTATGAGTGTGCGTTATTAATAATAAATAAATTTTTAAAGTACTACCACTTTAAATGTAAGAAATGTCCCTCACCTCTATCTCTATCCGCACAAGCACGTCATAAAGAGCGACCGAAGTTCGATGGTAATTTTCTTACGAGTCGGCAGAATTTTGCGTCGTCTTGCGGCTCTAACCAGACTTTTATATAAAACCAACTGTAGCTTAAATTACGCGACTTAAAAACGAGATTCACAACTCAGAAGAATACGCTCGTCTGGCCTCATCCTAAGGCTGCTAAAAGATTGACAGCACGTTTGTTGTTAATGCGTGAAGTCGTTATCAACTTCATGCAGTCGAGGTCTCGGATAACGACTTCTCGTATTAACTGCATGCAGCCGAGATCGACTGCACGCAGTTAATGCATGAAGTCGTTATCAACTGCATGTAATCGAGGTCTCGACTGCATGAAGTTGATAATGATTTCACGCATTAATTGCAAACATGCAGTCAATCGTTTAGCAGCCTTAGTTGTTTGTTATCATGAGTTAGATCAATAGCTGAAATGTAGTCACTACATGAAATGTAGGCTACGTTCTGTAAAAGCAGAATAGTTAAATATGAGTACCACCTAATCATCCTTCACTTGGAAGTCTACGTTAATCCATCTGGGAAAAAGTGTCGAGAAAATCCAACACTTTTGCAATTTTTTGGCTGACAAGGCAGTATACGTCAAACGAAAGCGGAATCCAGAGCAATAACATTTTTGCAGGCACCCACGTATAAAATTCATAATCCTGAAATTGGGAAATACCCGCGATAGCATTTAGAGCTTTATTATAAAAGCCCAAGATTCATATTAAAATTAAGAACCTTATGTTTGATAAAAATGACAATAGATCCGATTAAATAACTTCCTTTTCCCAAAATAATAAAGGACCGAGGCATTTACGAAATACAAAACAAAACAGGTCTAATAAAGCTTTAATACCGTAATTTAATAAGTTCCTTTTATTTCAATCCTATTGGGATACCATTCATCATTTCCATAGCCCCTTCCTTTTCATTCTAATTAGATTTTCGGTGTCGACTAGAATCAATTTCAATTCTTTAACGGAATTCATATTTTAATTATTAGTTTTGGGAATATGGATCTTATAAAGTGCTCTCCTCATCATAACTAACACGATCGACATTTTCAGCGAAATTGAAGTATTGACATATCCGAAATCTGCGAAACAAGATCTACCACACCTTATAAGCGGTTTTTTGACACCTTATTTAGTTTCAGTTTTATTGCCTTAGCTCGAATTCAATTTTTTCCTGTACTAATAAGGTTTATTTTGCTTGGATCCAGCAGCAGGGCCTTGGTTTTATTTCAGAATTTATGTTTTTCAAACGAAATTAAAGTAAGTCGTTTGAAAAATGTATATCGTATGCTATACGTTACACGTGTTCTATTCAGTTCAGTTTATATAAAAGAATCATTAGTATATGTAAAGTACCTACCGAATACAGCGGTTTTCTAGTAAATTTCGAGGTAAGTTTGTGTTTTTTTTTCTATCGAGAAAATTTTTAGGAATCCTGTTTTCACACCTTAATCTAATCAATGTACATCCTCAATTTTACTATTACATTTTTCGAAAGTTTCAAAGTGATCTATTCTACACTTTCAACAAAAGCCATTTGAGATTATATCGACTTGAGCAAATCAGTGTAATTTACATTTTTCAAAGAAAATAGAACTTTATGTGCCAATATATCAAGAATTACCAAAATGCAAATGCATTAGTTAGGAGGGCAGAGTACAAGTCTGTACACAATATCCTAATTTTTCGACACGTGGGGGGACAAATTCACGCACACGGCGAAATGTTCTGAATATCGAAATAATGTCGCGTTCACTAAGTCGACAGAAAATCCGACGGTGCGGCGACAAAAATATTCACTATTCAAAATTTGTCCTATTCTTGGTATCAATAGAGATGTTCAGTCGAAATATTTGGAAATCACCATTTTTAACCGACTTAAAAAAGAAGGAGGTTCTCAAATTGGACTGTATTTATTTTTTTTAACTCAGGCGAAATTTGTGAACGGATTTTGATGATTCTTTTTTTGTAGGAAAAAGGGTACCTCAGTAGTTGTTCCATTTACAAGAAAATATTCCACCTCTAACGGTGGTAAACTAAGGGATGAATCCGGCGTCGCGCCTTTTTCGGTAACAGATGTCAAAAAAACTTGGCAAATAAATGTTATTCCACGAACTTTTGAGGTCGGTTTTTTAGTACAGTCTACCCAGATTATTATTGACTATATTCGCTACAAAGTTTTTAAATTTAAATCAAGTGTTATCATTTCTGTTTTCATTGAAATAATTCAGTGTAACTAAACGTACAGCTTTGTCATTTTAGTGTCAGTACAACGTTTGTCAAAAATCTAATTGTGTCAATATTTTGCACATCCAAAGATAATGTAGGTGTAAGATATGACCATTATGCTAGATTGTCTCGTTTCCGTAAAACATCCTGACTTCTACTACTCGTTACACGTAAATAGAAATTGTCTCTACCGTAATAGAATCGGGGCTCTATGTCCATTTAGGAATAGGACAACGATATAATTTTGTCATTATTTTGAAGGGCTGCGATGTATAATTACAGATATCAAATTCGCCTTCACAATCACCAAACGTAGTAAAACAACCGAACATTCTGAACAAAGTAAGGTGTAAATTGAACGAGCAGAGCCTTTTTTGTGCTCAAACAACTTCAATCTTCTTCACATGTCGTCATTGCAAATTGATTCCTTTGCTTCCAAGAGAATAGCATTAGCATAATTTTTGTTCGAAAATTTACAAGGAAATTTTTGAAGTGAGCACATGTTTACTTCAACAACGGCCGATATAGATTGCTAGCAAGTTAGACATACATATTTATATGTATAGAATGTAAAAAGCACTCTGAATCTGAATCTCTGCAAAGAAGGACGGCGACATCCCGTGTATTTTGTGACCCAGTGTTTTTGACGACGTGCCTTAAAGAGACCTATCAATACTTGTGATTCATTAACAAAGCATTAAAAAAGCTAATTGAGTACAGCCTGTAGAAGCTGGGGTTATAAACTTGATACATGTTATGTTTATGACATTCTCCTGTATTTCGCTTCAAATGTTTGTTCGCAGTAACAGAAAACAACAAGTTTCAGTTTGTTCCTACAAATGATAAAGAATTTGCTGAATATTCCTTAATCTGCCAAACTCTGCCATATTTAATACAACGTCAACTTGTTCAGTCGCAATGAAATGAATAAAAATTAAATCTGCCCAAATGGCAGAAATCTGCCACAAATGGTCACACTGTTCTCAATCTCAAAGTGATATTGACATTGGCAAGAGACCTCTTGACAAAACGTTTCTTTGCTAACTTTCGTATCTATCATATAAATGTTGTGTAAACATTTTTGTCACATTGTTGTTTATTTTTACTTTATGCTGTTATTGTATAATTGATTATTTGATTAGGTATTTTATAGCTTTAATGTTTTATGTGTGTACTATAAAATAACCAATATTTTAGGTAGGTAAACATTCATTATGCTTAAATAGAAACGTAAGTACAAGAACATTACCTAATCTATGGTCGAACTAAATCAATTGCGTTGTGTTCTTGCATCTATTCTAAAATACATTGTTTTGCAATTTCTTTATTCCCGGCTTTTACAAAAATATAAGAATAACTAAATATAAACTAAACTAAAACTAAATAAAACGTAAAATTATACTAGCAAAGTCCATGAACCGCACTTCGTTGATTTTGGGTCAGCTTTCGCCATCCTTCTTTGGTATGCGTAATCTTTGATTCTTTCATAAAATATGTACATACCGCCCAATAACATGTTTGAAATATCTGTCTACGGTGTCCACTTTCTACAAATCCGTATTTACTGTAATATTTATTCGCCTTTTCGATTTTAATTTTCTTTTTATTAGATTTGCAACGAATATTCGGTTGTTATTCGGCCTTTTTTTTGCTATTTGGCCGAATGTCGAATATTTAATCAATATTCAGCCGAATTCTAAATACCTAATCAAGAGGAAGACATAAAAAAACAGTCAATTATCAAAAATATTGATACTGAACATGCATAGTCAGTTAGAGAAAGCACAATGTTTCGCTTATTTAATTAAAAGATCAAAATAATGTATCATAGCTATTTTTTTTTAATAAAATCTAAAAGCTAACATGTCAAATGAATACTACGTACTCATTATTTTGTTTAGTCATGACTGAATAAACGAAATCAAAATCAGCGAAGTATTTATTATTTGCACACCAAAATTTTTTTAAAGTTAATAAATCACAAATTATATTCTTCTTCAAGATGTCACAAATTTCAATTATAAACTTTAAAATTACATTCCCTTTTTTGTTTGAGTGTACAAAATTATTTCTCGTAACTGAAGTCACTAGTGGTATTTTTCGTACCAAATTGGCTCAAACTTGCGTTAATCAGACCGAATATTCGGCTATACGCCACACTCCTGGCCGAATACTAACCGTCGCAACACTACTTTTTATTTAATTTTGATAAACAGATTAAATCATATTAAACAATCTACGATAATATTTAAGGTCAAGTGGGATAAGAGGAACATTTTTACACATTACTTTGAGTCAATTGTTTTGAGTTATAAAACAGATAAAGTTTTATAAGAATTATGAAGCACTTTTTTGGTCTTTTTGGATTTTTTCTTGAAATTAATAAAATTGGTGAAAAAAAAACGGACACATGGGAATTGTTAACTTATGTCGCAAGGTGATGGGCGCAATTGCAGTGCCCCTCAAATCTTTGCGATTTAGCTCTAGTGACACTGCAACTGTTATGAACAGGCGTGTCGCTTACACCAGGCGCACTAGTAATTCGTCCAGTCACTTGTTTTCATAAAGAAAAATAAGCCTTTTGTCTTTGGAGCGTCGTAGGGACATCTCGTTAAGATTATTTAAACCAATTTATTTGTCTGTTTTATAAACTAAGACACTATTATAGTACTACACTTTTTAGATCATGAGTTAAGTTCAAGTTCCTCTTCCCCCACCTGATCTTACACAAAGTTGTAGAAAAACAGTATCGTATATTTTATTGACAAGAATGCTTCGTTCAGACGTTTCGAGTTAGGACGTGTTCCCAATACGTCGTGACGACAGATGGTCGTGTAGTTTAAAGTGTGGTGCCTTGTATATTTAAATGATTGTTCACATTCACAAAAAAGTCTTGAACGACATTTAATCGTGTTGTACTATCAACACGATTAAATGTCGTTAAAGACTTTTTTAACATTACAACAACAGACTCTCAAGACAATGAGAAGAGCTAGAAAGACGCGACTGTCGTCCGACGATAAATAAAACGTCACGATAAAAATGTGACGACAAATAATCGCAGTTACTATTATCGTCACGTTTTATTTATGGTAAAAAGTAATACATTATTGAAATTTCATTTTTATCTATTTCCATTTCACACGGGAGCGACCACACGCTACGGACTTCCAAAAGAACATTGAGACGACTGCTGTGCATCAAACGATTCTGTCGTGCAAACGACAAGACGACTGCCGTGTACCGATAAATTGTCGTCACGATCCACTGGGAATAGCTAGACACGACCGTCGTCAAACGACAAAAAATGCATGACACAGTCACGACAGACAGTTGTCAGACGATAAATAAAATGTCACGATGAAAATGCGACGACAAACAATCGCAGCAACTATTGTCATCACATTTTATTTATCATTGTCTGCATGTGCTTGCTTCCTCTTCTGCGTTTTTAAAAATCTATACAATAATGAAATTTCATCTTCATCTATTTCCATTTCACACGACTGCTGTGCATCAAACGATTCTGTCGTGCAAACGACAAGGCGGCTGCCGTGTACCGATAAATTGTCGTCACGATTCAGTGGGAATAGCTTGACACGACAGTCATCCTACGATAAAAAAATGCACGACACAGTCATGAAAGACAGTCGAGAAACGCGGCCTTAGTTTAATACGAGTATAGCCCTCCTAATAGTGAAACCCTAATTCTTATAACTGCCAAAATAAGTTGTTATTTGTTCCAGGAGCTGAAAATCCGACTAGACGACAGCTCTAGCCCGAGTGACAGCAGTGTCGTGACAAAGACCATTTAGTGTACGACCAGACTTTAAACTCAAAATACTTTTGAAGTGTTAGTTAAAATACTTTATTAAAGTTTGAAAGAGTGAAGTGAAATAACGCTTTCCTAGTAAAATAGTATTGTGATAAGTGACAAACCGGTAATAAATATCCGATTGAAACTGTAAGAAATAGTGTTTAGAAATGAATACTTACTTTAATTAATAAAGAAATGACATTAGTAAATATAGTAATAATGTTGTATCAATAAAGTTTAGGGCTCTCTGAAAATCAGCGTGACAGCCTAATGTCGACTATGGCATTAATTGAGTGATTCCTTTTGCATACGTCACATTCTCACACATGACAGTATTTAAAATTGTTTTATTTGAAATTTTAAATGTTTGATTTGTTGTTCCTTTTATTGTAATTGGTTTTAGTTTTTTTTATTCTTTCTTTCTGTTTATATTTTGTGTGATGTTGCAATAAATGTTCTTTTTTATTATATTCTCTTTTAAGACGAAATTTGATTGTCATCACTACTCATTTTATTATAAAGAAACTGCCAACTGCATTTTAAAATATAATTTCTCCAGTTTGTACAGTGTAACACAGACAGGAAGTGAAAGACGAACATTTTATTATTATAATTTTGGGCATAAGTAATTGCCCTCTTGCTGTAAATTACCAAAATACGGTTCTACTGACTTCACCTGTATTTAACCCTTAATATTCCCTCTACATTTGATTAGCTAATTAAGTACTGTTGAAAAAGCACAAAAATTATTAACCAGAAACAGTGCATCTCATTATATAACAGCACCAATTCCAGCTCGGCAAGAAAGCTAATTGTTTCTAATCTTGATATACATATATACACTTCCTTCTACCTGCTCAAGCTCACCTACCCAATCACCTGCCGATTGGTTGTTCTACAAAGTTAATAAACAAATCGGGTAGTTATGCGACTCACCACCGACCAGAAAGTTGATCACTATTGAAGGAAGAGTCTATTATGAAATGTTCTTTAGAATCCGAAACTAAAACTATCTAGTTAAATGGTGGTTCAAGTGTATATGTTGACCTAAATTCTGTGACCCTGTTTAATTACTTTCCCAAGGGCACAGACCCTATTATAAATTAATAATAGACTCTTCACTTTGATCTTAACTGGCATTTCCGGGTATACTATAATTTTCTCATTGGTGAAAGGTTTAAAATTAAGCCGTACTACACTAGCGTTATGTATTTTAGTAAGCACAGATTTCAATGATACATATGCAACTATCAATATGTTGTTTAATGGTTTAATAAATTTTATTCAATTTATTTACTCCAATATTTAGTTCCAAAATCACAAAGTCTCTTTCATATTCTGGCCTTTCGTTACTGTTACGATAAGTGTAGAGCAAACTACTTAACTGATCATTTTTCATTTTCAACAGCTTTTAAATTAATTATTTACAATAATACATATAGTAGTATGCAAGTCTGCAAAGAATATTTCGATGCTACCTAAGTCACACATTTGACTTGATAAGATTATATTTCCTACCACCATTCTTTCTCTATAAAACTAAAATAAAATATAGGAAGATGACTTAAGCAAACTTGAGGCGCTGGAAAGAAATTACTTTAACCACGGAAACTGTGTTTTATTGATAATACAGAGTATAGCCGTGTAAAAAGTAGGAAAGTAAACTATATTTGTTTGGGTGAGTACCAATACACATTCTTCCAACTTACGGCTAGGTTCAGATCGATGTACATCTGCCGCACATCAACTCGCGTTGGAAGTTCTTGAAGTGACAAGTTGTAGCTCTAAGGGCGGCTTCCCTCGGTCCATTTCTCCACGGGTCGCGCCGCGCGAGCTCGCGCCAGCGCGCCGTGGGAAGAGGGCCTCCCGAACGCGTTAAGCACGTAGGCCCGAGGCCGCCCGGATGTTTTGCCTTTGAAAAACGGGCAGTGGGAAGCCTAAAGCGGCTTCACGTCCTATCGCGACGAAAACGTGCGGTTACTTGAACTGAACAGGTTCACTATCAGTGCCTATTATAATTCACGGCACGGTGACGCCCGTTCGCTAGCGGTGTTAACGTGTATACCGCGCGTAGGTACATATGAACGAACGTATGGAAAATGTATGAATATTTAGATGCGCAAGATGAAAACATGCGTTCAATTTTTGTCATCTGAACATAGCCTAAAGTAAAGCAATGACATGTTACTACTGTAACGTACTAGCCTAAAAATAGCAAATCCACTAGATATATTCTCATGTACCTAAATACATACATTTATTTTAATGACGAAGCGTCCAAATAAACCCATTCTGAAAATTATACAGGTTGTTACAAAATTTGTACGTTCATTCTAAATATAATTTATAGCCAAAATTAAATAGTATATAATTGCAATTTTACATTCTGTTAGAGGTATATCCGTTATTATAACCAAAGAAACTATGAAATTGTTTATCACTAGTTACAGTTTCCGTATCTCGATACAAATTCTTTTTATTTTCCTGTTACGGAGCGAGAAACCGTTCCGATAAAAGAGAAAATAAAAAGTGCATAACATGAAAATCTTAAAATAATTATGAAATTATTTGGTGCAAAATTTTACATGTATAATGTGGGTAAATGATTTAATTGTTATTGATTAAAACTGCGCTGATGATTTTTTAATGTTACTAAAATACACTCTAAGAATAAAAAAAATGTCTTCATTAACTTGTGGATAATTTAAAAATATATTATAAGCTTACATTGAATAGTTATAAGCTAATATAAATAGCATTAAAAGATTATAATGTATAGTAGTAATGGTAAAATTTGCATCACTACAAAGTGGCCAGTCTTCCTGAAGCATTGAAGTTATTGACTTGAAATAAGATGGTCTTGTTATATCCATTCTATCACGTCTAGAAATAAGAGAGAATGATGTATACTTGGGCAGTCTGTAAAAAGAAACGTTATATATTAGCCTGATATCCTTTAATTGTATTATTATGTAATCCCAGATCGTGCCTATAAGATGTGTTTGATTTAGATAAAAAAAATATAATGAAGTTCAATAAAAAATATATTAATAAAATTTAACAAAAGCCTACTAACCTCCACTAGGTAACTAGATAACTAACATCATCTCTGAAGACTAGTTGTGGACAAACTGACCTTCTATCTTCTTCATTCGTCTACAACGAATGCTGTAACCATGTGTGGAGTAAGGCTAGGTTCAGATGGAAGCACCTCTACGGCGCGCCGATGAGCTAGGCAGCTTCTCGTGGCCCGTTTCAAAGTTAGCGCTGCGCGTTACTTGCAAGCTCGCCGTGAAAAGAGGACCGCCCGTGCTTGCCCGAGCTCGGATCCGCCGCTGATCGGAACTTATGCTCTTGATATAAACCCGAATACGCGCCGCCACGCGCGTCGGGCCGAGGCTACCTGGATTCGCCTGTTACGCGAGCTCGAGCGCGAGCCATATAAATCGCGCTTTGACATCACGGGCCATGGTGTGCTTGCAGTGAACCATAACGCGTGATCATCGGTATAGGTACACTCAGTGCCTATGAATTCTAACGACGAGCGTATGCAGTAGTGACGCGCGTTGTGAAGCTTTACCGCTGAACGGTGGCGGTACCGCGCGTCCATATAAACGTGTGTGTGTAAAATGTATGAATTTCTAAACGCGCGTTTGGAAGAGATATCGTTGTAAATCGTTGTACGGACAATTTTCCTAACGAAAATAAACTTTCTGAATCTGGAACTAGTAATAATATATCGTTAGTTCAAAAGCCGTGACGATGCTAAAGATGTTGGACCCAAAACAGCACCTTGAGAGATACCATAAAATAATGTGGGACTTTCAGAAGACGTTTGACCGAGTAGGCGTTAAATTATCAATATTATAAATGTTATAAAATAAAAACATTAACGTTTAAAATTGATACTATTTTAGAAAAAACTACGATTTCTATTAAATTGTATTGAATAATTTCTGGGTATAAAAAAGTAGACTCTTTTGCCGTACGTAAAATTGTTGTAAATAATATAGATTATTATATTGTAATAGTAGGTATATAATTGTTGTTAAAATCAGACTGATAGTGATTGTAATAGATATCTAGATGTTAAAAATAACACCTAGTTGACATGCGTAATACAAGTGTGTTTGGTTTTTTTATATTTTAGAATGATATATATAGTTTGTACCAGGTTTCAACATAATATTATTTTTGTGTTTAGATATAAATAGGTGTTATCATACATTGTACATCATACAATCATATAATAATTATTATTTTCAATAATTAAAATTACAAAAGAAGCAATGGGAGCCATTTACGATTTTGGTTGACACTTTATATTGTTACATTTCTTCTATTAACACTATCTATATATATACTATATATTTTAATCAGTTCTTCGGCGCGTACCTTTTTGTTGAGTAACCCGATGTTAAAATATTAAAGGCAAACATTTAAAATCGTTTTTAACTACGTTAAGAGTTGTGATAATGACATCAGAAGTGTAAAAGTTATGTTATTATATGTTCCACATCACTGATATTATTTACAACAGCCTGCAGTGTCATAAAAGTTGTCTGCGACATTTTGCGGAAGTGTTGTCAAACATATTCGATTTCTCTATACATGTAATACAACATCTCTGAACACAAAGGGCTGACATTGAAGCGACACAGACCCTTACATGGCATCATTCATCTCCAGACATTGTCTTAGACAGCTTGATGATCTATTGTTACGGAGCTACTGTTTGTTTGTGAAATAGAAATCAATAGGTTTGAATTCGACGGTAGCAATGTATGATAAGAATGTACTTTATGAGTCGTGTACGCCGAGGAAAGACAAAAAATGTTATTTATGCACGTTTTCTTTGCTTACCCGATTACTTGTACTTATCTATCCATAGCTTCGTATTGTGTCCTAATTGTATTTTTAAATGAGCACTGTGTTGTTCCTCCAATCACTGACTGTCGCAGCTGACATTTTCTCGTAGC